CACTTCCAGATCTTGGCCGAGTGCTTAGAAAGTGAAAAACTTTGTGCGTGCGAAATTGTGGCAAGCAGACAACCAGCGAATAGCCCAACAACGCAACCGCGGCCAAGATTCTAGCGGCGACAGGCGACAGCCGACAGCCGACAGGCGGACACTTTGAACTGAGTTGCAAAAACAACGCAAACAAAGCGAAAATTAAACTTATATTGTTGCGTTTGCCAGGCAGCAAGGATAAACTTCAGCCGCGGCAGAGCGCGAACATTAAAACCAGTGACAGCGAGCCAGCTGCTGCTGCGACGGCAACTGAATAAGGAATATCCATGCTAGCTGGCAAAATGTCAGCGTACTTTAGTTTAACACACTCGCCGACATTGAGCATAGTCTTTTATTAGGACGCGTCTCTGGCAACCGCAATGCCATCCGCAGTCAGATGCGGGCCGGGCCAACAGCTGCTTAACTTGCAGTTGGTTAGTGAGCTTTTCCTTTTTTTTTTTGTCTCTTGTTATTCGGCTGTAATTCGTTTGAAATAAGATTACTGTCCCAGCTCAACGTGGTCGCAATTGCGGGCTAATTAAAAATTTGTCATACTAATTAAATGCACGCCATGAGAAGACGTGATGGGATAACGGCAGGGCGGCCGCAGGACCCTGCGGCTTATGGTAAATCAGTGGCAGCAGCAACGCAGAATCATCAAAACGTGAAAAATTTTCGTAATTATATTTTAGCCAATAAAGAGCGCGGCTTATACTATGTTAGTTAGCTACTCAGCTACCATGCTGCTCGTCATATATCATATTTCAATTTTTAGGCAGAATTGCATTTTCTTTAAGCTGAATTTTTTGCCAAAGCCACCTGAGCGTCGTTGCATGCTTGGAAAAACTGTCACAAAACTGCTGACAAAGCTGCCACAGCCCGCACCCTGACAATAAAGGGGCAAGGCAGAAGGCGGCATAAGCCACATGAGCTCGGCACGCGTCTACTGTGGTAGCCAACAATGCCAGCCCGCGAAACGGAATTTTAATGAGATATAACTGACGAAAGGAGTAACAGCAGAACCAGAGCATAGATCGAATTGCGACTATTCCCTGCACTATATTTAAGACAATGCGATATTGTGTTACTTAGTTAGAAGGAATATTTACTTTAATTTTGTCAGTTTAAGCAACGTAGCTGCAAGATTATTTGAAGTATACACAGAGTATCTAAAAGTCTAACACTCATAGCTAGAACCTTGTTGTCTTTTTGCACGTTTACTGCAAGCAATTTCGCTTGTTAATGAAATTTGCATTTGTGCTACGTGCAGCGCAAAAAACATTTGGCTCTGTTTCGGTGATGTGCGATAAATTAGAAAATCATGCATTTTATGCTAATGCCAACACCGACAGACCGCAACGGAACGCCAGCGCTAAGAATAACATACTTTTAGCTTGACAAGTTTTTACCACTTTACATTTTTCTCAATTTACTTTTATTTTTCTAACTTTTTTTGTGCGCCAGCTATTCGAGCAAATGAAATTACTCATACGCCACGTTTTCAATTTTTATAAAGACTGCCAGACTGACTTGAAGCAGCGAAGGCGAATGCTGCACGACTTTTCGTGAACGGAACGGAAGAAGGTAAACCCTAAGCTGATTACTGTGCAAGGAAATCAAATGAATTTGCAGCGAAGAAAAATCTATCGCTACATTAAATGAGAGCTGGGGCAACTGCGGTACCCAATCCGCATTGATTTCTTTATTGCAATTTTATTTGATTGCGCTCATATAAAATTACGTATACGCAATGTTGAGACAAGTACTGTAACATAGAGCTAAAATCTCATCAAACCTATCAGCGAGTGGCATCACGCATGCAATGATTGTAAGCAACAACAACATCAACCGCAGCATCAACAATCCACCAACACTTATGAGGATGGAGCTGAGGCAAACGGAAGCGGAAACGTTAACGTTAGAGCAAGCATCTAAAACGTAAATGTGTCACGTAAATGGAGCGTAAATTTCAATAAAAATCATTTCAATTCTACCGAAGCCAAAAGGAACCGTAACTGCTTCAATCGTTCGCCACACGGGCAGGCTGAAAATGTACGTAGTTTTGGTGGGTGACTTGGGTGGCTGCTAACTCCACAATTACAGCAGTCGGCCCGCGTGCCAGACAGATGTAAGTGAAACCGTAATCTGGCAATGCAAACCAAAGTACGAAGGTAAGCAAGAAGGTAAGACACTAAGCATTATGCCTTCCGCTTAAGGGAAATTGAATTTTGCGTCCAGCTTCCGCTCATCTGCCATTAACAATAGCACTTAACTACTCAATATGACTCACCCAACTTGGCGATGCAGCATCTCTGCCAGCGTGGGATTGTTAACCGTCACATCTGGCGCATTATCAACTATGACATGAACGTACTCGTCCGATACCAGCAGCTTCTGAAGATCCATATACCGATCGTGCGGCGTTACCTTTCGCGTGGTGAGCGTGGAGCCAGCGACTACTGCCTCCTGGCCACTCGGTGTGCCGCCAGTTTGACCGCCCGAGGGTTGAGCCTGAGTTGAAGCCTCTTTGGAGCCTGAAGAGTTGCTGTAAGAAAGTGCGTTTAAAAATGGCTCAAATTATTTTGCATTCCAGACATACTTAACAATATTCGAGTCAGTAACTGCTAATTGCAACGCACAAGTACCTGTGGCGACCAACTCAAGTTGCACGTTAAAGGAATTGCCCACAAGGTCGAGCTACGCTATAGTTACATTTAATCTTAGACCTATGCTCTGCACACTAACACATTTGACTGTTAAGACCAGGATTATGAGCTGAGAGGTCTTTTCTATAAGACCCAGCTTAAGTTGTGTCATTGGCTAAACAGTGAACAAAAACAGGAAAAGTATTTATAAAATGTAAGCATATATATATATATATATGTGGTCCACACATCTGTTAGTCCACTTCTCAATCCTTACTATTTTCTGATTAGACTGGGCCATTCGAGCTACATCTATGACATTTTTCACTCAACTCATCTCAGTTGCTGTTGTTGTTTGGCTTACTTTGAGCTTCGAGCAGATTGCAGTCAGCTCCTTGCAGCTGCTTGTTATCATAATATTCGGCAGCTGCTCGTGTGCTTCTCGTAATTGGAGTGCTGCTCTCTTTGGTCATTAAAATGAATTTCAAATGTGCCTACGACAAGTTGGTAAAATGCAAAAGGCGGATATTGCATCATTAAACGAAGGGTTTACGCGCTGAGAGTTGGCTCAAATCAGGTCCTGCAAATTGCTTCACCTCAGCCACAAAACTTTGTGCATTGTCGCTTAAATTTTTAAGTGCGCAACAATTTCAGGTTATTTTTTCCTACCCATCTACCCTCTTGATGCCCATATTTAAAGTCTCTGTTCTGGGCTTGTCTCTGGGCTTCACTCAAAAGGTGCGTACATGTGCAGCGGCGGGCGAAGTGCAAAACTTTTTCAATTAACAGTTGCCGGCAAGCTTTAAACTTTACAGCCGCTTCAGAGTGTCGGATCCTTTTGCTTACTGTCTTTGTCATTGCCGAAGGGCTCATAACGCACACCTCTTAACGAGGCTCAGCAGATTTTACGCTTTTAATGCTGTCGTACACTGAAGCATGCGACATAATGACATTATGTGTGACAATGAGCTTACTTTGTTGCACGTATACATTAAAGCAATTTACCACCAGTTAGGAATGCAAAAGTACTTAGGCTCCATTTAAATATATTTATGTAATACACCACATTGGTTTTCTGGCCAAACACACATTATGTGTTTGTGGCTAACAAGCCACGTGGCAGGTAAGTCAATCGCATTATTAGCATCAGCTATGTAACGCAACATGACACATAGCAAGTAGCAACACGGCAGCATGGATCGATGCTCGATGTGGCCTGTACTTAATTAAACCAACGACAAGTTTTCCTCATTAAACTGTCACGTGTCATGCGTAGCGCAGGTGACCTTTGCATGGTCTTCACTTACGTAGGTAATGTTACGTGGTTAATTAAACAGTTTAGATATTAAATATATACCACTCGCTCATGCTGGTGAGTGTCAAGTGCAGCTGACTGCTCTCCCAGACTGATGAGTATACGCTTTTGCCAGACCAAAATGTCGTCAGCACCCAGCGCAATCTATGAGAGCATCATGTGGTGTAAATTCCTACGATCCGAATTATCGCTTTATTTTTATCAGAGTCTGCCCAAAAATAAGAAACCAGATGTGATTCGGTTGCTTTGAGTTTTCGTTAGCTCTGCTCTGCAGCTCAATGATCGATTCGAATTATAGCACTTTATGAAATTCTTGCTCGCATTTGCTGATAACAAAACATATTTATAGCTTCACATTATGTTGTTCGAATTTTTACTTAAATAATTAATAATTCATAAATAAAAACCCCAACCCTATTCCCCAATCAAGCCGATGTAGACATACAAATTGAATTTAATATGTGCATTTCTTTAAGCGAGCGAAATATATTTATGTTGACTCAGGTTTCACGTAGGCCTTAGGGATAGCGCCCTTGAAGCTTGGGGCTCTTTTAATTAAGAAGTAGTCTTCTCTAATTAGAGTCTGGCTCTCATTCGTCAAAAGCAGGGCACATAATGACGTTATGTGTGGCAATAATCTCACTTAGTTGCATGTACATTTAAGACATCGGAATGGATGCACAAAGCCCGTCCCTTCTTCTAAACCTTTTATGTAATATTCAAAACTGTTTTTGGGGCCAGAACAGATTCTCCAACTGCAGCTAACCAGCAGCGTGGCAGGTTTGTCAATTAAATCGATGCACTTAATTGAACTAATGACAGAGATTCCTTATTAAGGTGTCACGTATCGTGCGTGACGCAGGTGACATCTGATTTATGATCTCTCAGGCAGTTAAGCAAATTTGCAAGGACGCAAGGAAGGCAGAGACGTGTCAACTACAGCTGGCTAAGGTCCCAGATTGGTGAGTATATAAACTACTGTTCGGACATAGAGCCCATCAAAGTGTGCAATGTCGTCGCGACCAAGTGAAATATTCCGCGACATTATGCGCTTTGTGCGCCTTATATCGGGCTGCATTGGTGTCGATGCCTACGATCCGAGTTATCGGTTTAATTCTATCACAGCCGTTACAACAGGTTTCATCGTGATGTACTTGACCTTTACGATCGTAACAGTGGTCAAGGAATTTAAAGAGAACTGGATGTTCTTGATACAGGCATGTGCCATGAGCGGCAGCGTGATGCAAGGCACCAACAAGTTATGCGTTGGAGTCTTTTCTGCAAGAACAGTATCAGAGCTCTATCTGCAGCTGGAAAAAATCTATGCGGACTTTGAAAAGGAGCCTGATCCCAGATACCAAAAAGTACTCTTACGCAACTGTAACAAGCTGAGACGCGTTCTGTTCTTAGTTGGCCTCAGTTACGTGATTGGCGTCTGCGGAATGATCCTCACAACGGTTGTGGCTTCTTATATAACTGGCCAAACCTATTTAAGTATGCACTTTCATCTACCCGGGATAGATGTGCACACCAAACTAGGTGGTTGGTTGACCCTAGGAGTGCATAGCGTATGCGTTGTCATTGGTGGACTTGGGATGTATGCAGGTGACATGGTTATCATCGTCTACCTGCTGCAATCTTTTGTCTATGCGGATATATTGAAGCTCAAGGTGGATACGCTAAATACGCATGTCAAATTAATACAAAACGATAAACTACATCGTCAGACCTCCCAAATGCTTGTTGGCATTGCAAAGTGGCACCAGATCTATTCAACGTGAGTAAAATCGGACCAAATCTCACACGCAACGAGTAACCTCTGCCTTTACAGATTCATAGCCCAGTGCAATGAAATGTTTTATATATTGGTATCCGTTCAAATTGCATCCTCTGCCTTGTGCATTGTCCTAACAATCTTTGCGTTGCTTACTAGCGAGTGGGTAGGGGGCTACTGCTATATATGTATTATCATTCCTAACTTGTATCTCTACTGCATACTTGGCACAATGCTTGAGAACTGCGTATGTGAAAGATCAAAGTTAAATGTCTTAAATTAATAAGAAATATTCTATCCCTTTAAGAATGACAACATTATGTACGAGATGTACAACATATCGTTCTACGATCTAAGCGTTGAACAACAGCGCTTCGTGTTGTTTATGCTAGTCAAAAGCCAGAGGCCGGGTGTGATTCGACTTCTTGGAGTGATGCCGCTGTCTGTTAGCTCTGCTCTGCAGGTCAGTGAGTGCTTCAAATTATGCCACTTAATAATATTATTTTTCATATTTGCAGATAACCAAGAGTATATATAGCATTACTATGATGATGGTTAAATTTTTATATAAATAGATCATGTTTCAAATATCAATCCAGACGAAGCAACAGCAGATATTTAATGCTTACTTAGAACTTTAACGCTATAATTGCACGCTGAACCGCACGGATTTACTGTATGAACCGAGCCAAACAAAATATGAAAACTTTTTTACAATTACTATGAATTAATTAAATATTTACAAACTAAACATTCGCTTTTATGTTCCCTTGCTAGCAGGCGTTTGGCGCAATATTGCTCCACTCGCTGCACCTGGGAGCTTATGGGATGAATTTCTATCTAGCTGGTTGGTTGGCTCAGGCGGAAGCGTGTCTTGCCTGTCTTGGCAGCATGTCTTGCGTTTAGCTGCGTCATTTTTGTGTTTTATTACATGACTTCCGCCAGCCGCAAAATAATACTGGCGCCCCCCTGAAACACACGCACACATATACGGTAAAAAGGAGCAGCATGTCAAAGGCAGCGTGAAAGCCCAATTGCGAGTTGGCTTTTGCTTATAAACACAGCACAGCACAGATCAAAATGTCACCACCCAGCGATATCTATTAGAGCATCATGTGGTGTAAATGCCTACGACCCGAATTATCGCTTTAATTCAATCAGCTCGATGATCGATTCGAATTATAGCATTAATAAAATTCTCGCATTGCTCGCATTTATAGCTTCCCATTATGTTGCTTGAATTTCTAATTTAATAATTAATAATTCATAAGTAACAACCCCAACCCTATTCCCCAATCAGGCCGATATAGACATACAAAATGAATTTAATATGTGCATTTCTTTAAAATATGTTATGTTTTCTCATGTTTCACGTGGGCCCTGGAGTTGGCACCCTTTATGATTGGGGCTCTTTTAATTAAGAAGTTACTCTTCTCTAATTGGAGTCCGGCTCTCATTCGTCAAAAGCCGTGCACATAATGACATTACGTGTGGCAATAATCTCACTTAGTTGCATGTACATTTAAGACATCGGAATGGATGCACAAAGCCCGTCCCTTCTTCTAAACCTTTTATGTAATATTCAAAACTGTTTTTGGGGCCAGAACAGATTCTACAACTGCAGCTAACCAGCAGCGTGGCAGGTTTGTCAATTAAATCGATGCACTTAATTGAACTAATGACAGAGATTCCTTATTAAGGTGTCACGTATCGTGCGTGACGCAGGTGACATCTGATTTATGATCTCTCAGGCAGTTAAGCAAATTTGCAAGGCTGCAAGGAAGACAGGGACGTGTCAACTACAGCTGGCTAAGGTCCCAGATTGGTGAGTATATAAACTACTGTTCGGACATAGAGCCCATCAAAGTGTGCAATGTCGTCGCGACCAAGTGAAATATTCCGCGACATTATGCGCTTTGTGCGCCTTATATCGGGATGCATTGGTGTCGATGCATACGATCCGAGTTATCGGTTTAATTCTATCACAGCCTTTACAACGGGCTCCATCGTGATGTACATGTGCTTTACGATCGTAACAGTGGTCAAGGAATTCAAGGAGAACTGGATGTTCTTGATACAGGCGTTTGCTACGAGCGGTAGCGTGGTGCAAGGCATCAACAAGTTATGCGTTGGAATCCTTTCTGCCCGCACAGTATCAGAGCTTTACCTGCAAATACAGACAATATATTTGGACTTTGAAAAGGAGCATGATCCCAGATATCCAAAAGCACTCTTACGCAACTGTAACAAGCTGAGACGCGTTCTGTTTTTCGTTGGCGTCAGTTACGTGATTGGCGTCTGCGGAATCATCCTCACAACGGTTGTGGCTTCTTATATAACTGGCCAAACCTATTTAAGTATGCACTTTCATCTACCCGGGATAGATGTGCACACCAAACTAGGTGGTTGGTTGACCCTAGGAGTGCATAGCGTATGCGTTGTCATTGGTGGACTTGGGCTGTATGCAGGTGACATGGTTATCATCGTCTATCTGCTGCAATCTTTTGTCTATGCGGATATATTGAAATTCAAGGTGGATGCGTTAAATACGCATGTCAAATTAATACAAAACGATAAACTACATCGTCAGACCTCCCAAATGCTTGTTGGCATTGCAAAGTGGCACCAGATCTATTCAACGTGAGTAAAATCGGACCAAATCTCACACGCAACGAGTAACCTCTGTCTTTACAGATTCATAGCCCAGTGCAACGAAATGTTTTATGTACTAGTATCCGTTCAGGTTGCATCCTCTGCCTTGTGCATTGTTATATCAATCTTTGCGTTGCTTACTAGCGAGTGGTTAGGAGGCTACTGCTATCTATGTATTCTCGTTTCCAACTTGTATCTCTACTGCGTACTTGGCACAATGCTTGAGAACTGCGTATGTGAAAGATCAAAGTTAAATGTCTTAAATTAATAAGAAATATTCTATCCCTTTAAGAATGACAACATTATGTACGAGATGTACAACATATCGTTCTACGATCTAAGCGTTGAACAGCAGCGCTTCGTGTTGTTTATGCTAGTCAAAAGCCAGAGGCCGGGTGTGATTCGACTTCTTGGAGTGATGCCGCTGTCTGTTAGCTCTGCTCTGCAGGTCAGTGAGTGCTTCAAATTATGCCACTTAATAATCTTATTTCTCATTTTTGCAGATAACCAAGAGTATTTATAGCATTACTATGATGATGGTTAATTTTATATTTGAGTAGATATTATTTGAACTATCAAGTTAGACGTAGCAACAGCAGATATTTAAGGCTTACATAGAAGTTTAACGCTATAATTGCACGATGAACCGCACGGATTTACTCGAGGTTGGTATTAGGTGTATGAACCGAGCCAAACAAAATATGAAAACATTTTTACAATTACTATGAATTAATTAAATATTTACAAACTAAACATTCGCTTTTATGTTCCCTTGCTAGCAGGCGGTTGGCGCATTATAGCTCAACTCGCTGCACCTGGGAGCTTGTGGGATGAAATTCTAGCTAGCTGGTTGGTTGGCTCAGGTGGAAGCGTGTCTTGCCTGCCTTGGCAGCATGTCTTGCGTTTAGCTACGTCATTTTTGTGTTTTATTACATGACTTCCGCCAGCCGCAGAATAAAACAGGCGCCCCCCTGAAACACACGCACACACATACGGCAAAAAGGAGCAGCATGTCGAAGGCAGCATAAAAGCGCAATTGCAAGTTGGCCAATTGGCCCGTTTGTGGGTGTATGTATGTGTGTGCAGGGGTAACCATAAAAAGGTGCATGCAGTGGTAAAGATGTCTGTTATGGCCGTTGTTGTTGGTATTACATGGAGTCGTAGTTTCCAAGAACGTTTGTCCTGACCGTGCGTTGTCTTAAATTCCAGCACCCGCTGGCTTTTGTTGCCTGGTTGCTGAAAATTACGTTTTAATGCCAGGCCAGCCGTGTTTTATTGCAAGTTTTGTTGCATTTTTTAAAATTAAATTATATACAATAGTCGACTGGGGCTCACGATAGGTGTGCCAGCGGCGGTGACGACCGACTACACGGAGCAATGTCCGGATAGTAACTATTATTTAACTGTTGCCAGCGAACTCACTGAAAGTTAATCAGCAGAGCATTTTTCTAAATTCTTAATAAGTAGGCACGTATTAGTACTTAGGAGTTCTTGTGAAATAGGCACCATTATTTACCCAAACTGTATTACACTCTATATGAACAGAAAACACTCTGCATTCCCAGCATTGCAAGCCCAAAAGACATTGTTCATGGAACAAACTTTCTGCTTTGGGTTCCGTTCGTGAACTTAATTAACTTTTAATTTAAATAACTTTCGACTGCAAATAGGAAAAACTGATAGATAAATACAATGGTTAGGTTATACTTAAATAACAAAGTTATTTATACTTTCAGGTTTTTTTTTTTAAAATTATTAACCAAGCAATTGTTGAAAACAATATGGTTTGCTTCGGTTTACGGTTCGGTTTTTTGTTGAGCAACTGGTTATGTTAAAGGTTTTCTTCATAGTAAAAATAATGCTGGAATTCCGGATTACAGCCTTAATTCTCAGGCAAATACACTGACACTTAAAAATCTAATTGTATCGAAAATAAAACAAAATTGTCAGTAGTTTCTTACCTCTTCTGCAGGAACTTTCGTTTGAACTCGTGCAGCATTCCTCCGCCTCCGGCTGTGCCAGCCTCGCTGTAATCATTGTTATTGCCAAAACGCAGCTTTTGATGCTGTTGCTGCAGCAGATGGCGGTTCGCAACCCCGAAGTCCATTTGCACATCCACAATGAGCAGCAGCGTGAGCAGCACAAGCGTCGCTCCCAGGCTAATAGCCAGGCGCTCTTTAAGCTTCATGGTACGCAGGACGGCCATAATGGGCGAAGGAGAAGCACTCCTATTGCTGTTGCTGCTATTTAATTGACGTGGAGCAAAAGCCGTTTCTAAGGCGCCCCCTGGCTTGCTGTTGGACTGGGTGGCACAAAAATTGCGCAGCCTTGAAAGCCAGTTGAGATGACAATCCTGTTTCAGCTCTGGCCTGGCCGCCTGCATGTGCGGGGAGCCGGACGTTAGTGGTGCTGCAGCGTCGCGGGCGCGTGTCGAGCGCACAATGCGCCGCTTGATGAGCACTCGTCGTCGTGGCGCTGCCTCCTTATTGCCACTCTCGTTCTGCTGGATCTCAAACTGTGAAGCTGCCTCCTCTAACGCGTCAGTTGAGCAGCGCGCGTTGGCATCAACTGCAGCACTGGCGCTGGCGCTGGAACGTCGACCGGCAGTTCTGCAGTAGCTGCTGTTGTTGCTGTTTTCGATATGCCCATGCAAATTGGAAACGCTTATTTGTTCAGCTGATAAATCGTTATCGTTGATATCAGCGCTATTGTAACGCTGCTGTCGCTGCCGGAACCGCTGCAGACGCTCCGCTAGAGGCGCAAACTGCGCACAGCTGCAAAGAGAGGAGAGAATTTTGTTAGCATGGCAGATGCATATGTATGCGAGATCGTCAAATCTTAAACGAGTCGAATGTTGTGTGAAATGCAATCAATCGCGCTACCAAAAACCAATTTTGAACAATCTACAAGTTTTCATTCAAAA